GGGAAGGCTCTGGCAAGACGATGAATGTATTCGAGATGATTGCAGGGACATTACAGCAAAACCTTAGTCCTGACTCTGTGCCAGAAGGGGGGGCTCTGCTCTTTTCTTTCCCTTCCTTTTGAAGAGGTAGCTCCTTAACATTACAGTATCAGCAGTGTTTGAGCTCCTGAACTGCTTGCTGATAGTTACATCAACTTACATGTGTGCAAGCAGATACCCAAAGAAGAACCTAATCAAAGTCACGAAAGTTTTCAGATTCTCTTGTCCAGTAAACTGGTGGTTGAACTTGCTGCAATTGCCCACTGGAACCAAAAGCTGCAACTCGATTTAGGATGCACACAATTGTCCAGGTTCAAGGCTTAGAAGATGCAGATCACTTCAGGACATCCGTTACAATTGGAATGATGCAGAGGAGATTAGCATGACTCTCACGTCCCAGAGCACGGATGACACACACTCCTAACACATCAACAACACGACCCAACATACATCTTCCTGTAGGATCATCTACAATAGATCAGATTCAGTACATTCGTCAATATCTCCTTCTTCACTGGCAGTATCACTACCAAAACCACAATTCCTACACTCTCATTTTCTAGATTCAGTGTCACTCCTCTAACGCCACTGGAAAATTGGACCATTTCTCCGGCATGAATCTCATTCAATCCACAAACATGTTCCATAACTTCAATTCCAATCTTGTTCAATCCATAAACATGTTCAATTCCATCTACTACCGAGACCTCCCAACCGTTTTCATCCACTTGTAATTTGGTGTAACAATCATTAATTTGTAATTCTGTCCCTATACATCTTACAGGCTAAAGCAGTCCGCAGCTGACGGCCCCTCAAGGCCCAGCAAAAATCACTGGCATGTGGGACCGTCATGGAACTCAAGTTTTCCGCTGGCTGGCATGATCCGTTATTGTTGTTTTCCATCCGCCATTTGAATACAAGAACATAGCAGACGAGGCAAAGTACTCTGTCGCTACCGCGCGGCTGTTCGAACCTCGCTGCGAGCTAGGAACACTAGCTAAAGAAAAAAAAAACACAGAAAAAACGAAGCATCCATTCCAAAGGTCGCCCTGCATGTGAACTCTGGGCCATGGGAACCCTAGCTAAGAGGAAAAAGAAAAATAAGAAGCGGCCATTCCGAAAGACATCCTGCATGTGGACTCTGAAGCGCCCCGATGCATGTGACAGAGTGGCACACTCCCGAAGGGCGTTTGCCGCATTCTGTTCCTCTTCAATCAGTACCCTATTCAGCTTGCTCACCCGAAAGGAGATTCCACGGGCCATTTTCCCCAAGATGTGTTTTTTTCGCTCTTTTTGTTGTTTGGTTCCATCCCCAAACCTCGGCCGGAGATCATGTTGACCGAGGTGTTGCTGGCAGTTCCGTTGTGAGTTTTTTTTGTTGTTTTGTTCCCTCCCCGAACCTCGCGTGGAGATCATGTGGGCCAAGGTGTTGCTGGGAGTTCCGTTTCGTCCTATCCAGGAATCGCTCGAACACAAGTACATAGTAGTGCTGTTCAGACCATGATTGGAAAAAGATGGATTCACTTTCCCGAGATCTCGGGCTCAAACCTTGACACAAGCTTGCCCCCGAAAGGAAAATTTGAAAAATCTCCCAAGTTGTTTTGAGTTGTTTTCTGGTTCCCCCCCACCCCTATCCAGTGATGTATACCCCGACGGTCAGCGGCCCTTGACTAGTCGGCATCTGCCGGAAAAAAAAAACCAAATAAATAAATATTTTATTTTATTTTATTGCGTCCAGAACCCCTTATAACCCCACCAACACCCCCATACCCCCCCCCCATACCCTCCTACACCCCCCCCCCCCCCCCCACCCCCCCCACCAACACCCCCATACCC